GAAATTTGAAGCCTTCAAAGCCAATTTAAGAGCTCGGGAAGATGAGGCTTTTGAGGATAGGATAGAGAAGGTTGAAGAAGATCTTGTTTAATAATTTCTAATAATCGAGAAGACCCATTTTAAGAAGTGTTAGGATGAAGCTCTTCGTGTTTTCGGTGATCCTCTAACCTCTGAATTGTACTCCCGCCATGTTTCTGGTCTTTCGAGCACTCAATCTACTAGAGCTTCTTCTATCTTTTGTTGCACCGACAACCAAACTCCCCTAAAATATGTGTATATATTTTTTGTACTCATGTCTACTTTTTCTAATATAAAGAAACTTGTGTTTAATTTTTCTTTACATCTAAAAATTATGTCTTGTCTATATTTTAAGAAATTTTCCTATTAACCATTTTCTAATAATTTTTACCCCATTCCCCTTCTAGAGGCTTGGCCCTACTGGAGAGTTAGGGCCTTAATTAGTTAGAAATAAATTTTGAGTTGTACCTTATTCCCCTTCTAGAGGTTTGGCCTTACTAAAGGACTAGAGTCTTTCATACTTAAAGAATTTTCTGAATGGTGCCCCTTTGTGCTTTTAGAGGCTCGGCCTCACTAGAGGGCTAGGATTTTTCATACTTAAAGGCTTTTTTGAATCGTGCCTTTTCCCTTTCTAGAGGTTTGGCTTCACTAAATCTCTAAGGCCTTAAATACTTTAGAAATAATTTTCGAGTAATGCCCCTTCCCTTTCCAAAGGTTCAGCTTCACTAGAGGGCTAGGGTCCGTCTTCATAGAGATTGTCGCGAAAGGTTTCTTCTTGCGGGCAGTGCCGTCCCGATGACACGTGGTCAAGGTCTTATTGTTCTTCTTAGAGGTCCTTGAAACGTCTTCCCTGATGTCGTTGTCAAAGGGTAAGGATACCCGATAATTGTGTTGAGGGTCGTACTTATTGTACCCTTACTTATCGCGGGGCAATCCTGGAATACTTCGTAGTTTTTACTTGACCTTTTGTTCACTTTCCAACAAACGACGACAATTCTACAAGGGAAAAAACCTCATACCTCTAGTTCAAGGTGACGTGGAATCTAAAGAACAATTAATGTGAAAGGAAACAAAAAGGTTCTGCCCTTACAAAATTAACAACTGATACTCTTATGCTTAAGTTAGTAAGGGGTCTGAGAATAAACAAAGGGAATTTGCAAGGAAGATAATGTGTATACCTTAGACTTAAGCTTCTACTTGTATAGATAGTGATTTGTACCCTCTTTTAGGATTTTGCTATTGGTTGTGGAAGATGGCACACCTTCATTTTAGTCTATTCACCTGTAACTTAGACAACTTTCTTATCGATTATGCATCGTCTCTGATTTCTCAAGATATTCTAGCTATTTCTAGATCGGTTCCATTTTTGGCAGAGTCAGTCTTGATTTCTCTCATCCTTACTCAGTTCGGTTCGTTGCTCGGCATCCTTACTGACCAAACAATTTCATCATCTGTCTAGCACAATTATAGGTAGGTCGGCATCCAGCTTGGTTAACTGAGCCAGTACTTTAAAAGGGCGTAATTGCCACATGTTTATATCACGTACGTTCTCTTACCTGTATACATTACTTGGAATCATTAAATAGTTTAATCATGCGCAGTCATTCTGCGCATATATATATATAACTAAATTATTTGTTATCCTCCATCCAGGCTTTTGAGTTCACCTCCCCTATTGGTATTTTTCAAAATAAAATTTAAAAATTTAAAAATTTGAAATACCTTTTTCTATGTAGCATCCCTACTATATCTTGAATTTTAATAAATTAGATGTAATTTCCAAATTTAAAGGAGCATAATATTAGAAACTGAAAGATTTCCATAATTTCCAAATCCTTTAAGCACATTATATATATAACATTCATTAATACATTAACCTCCTAAAAATAATTTTGAATCATTGGGCAAAAAATGTATTTACTTAGACACTGTAGATAATTATAAGATCTTTTGGGTGTTATTTTAACCATCCCAAAATATGTAGACATATCACATATGTAAGAAGCTCAAAATCACCAAGCAACATTTACTTATCCTAGTCAACTTGGAGATCTTATCCAACCTTAATTGACTAATGTTTTTCCACCTAATAGTTTAATGTAGTATCTTGATTTATTGAGGTGTATTTTACACAATCAATCACATTAGATTGAGATATCAATCATATTATTTATTAGTGGATCATATAAACTGCCAAATCATATAAGATATCAATCCAATCTTTTTTTATCATATTTTTGTTGTCTATTTTTTTATCTTTCTTTTTTTTGTCTATTAAAACTACAAGAAAAGGGGCAAGTTCAATAGTACCCCAAAAAAAATCTCATGTCGTACGACCAAATATTAATTTTTGTGGTTGAGTTACAAAATTTTTGTGGTTAAATTATTTTTTTAATGTTTTTGGAATTAATCCCAAATACCCTAAATACTTTTAACTTTAATTATAAAAATTATAAGATGATCCCAAAATTTTATAATATTTAAAGATAAATCAATCTTAATTTTGTTTTGTTTTGTATTGTATATATCTAGACTCTAAGAATATGTATATTTAACTTTTAAAAATTATATGTAAGTTTTAATACCACACCTTCTTCTTCAATACCAAAATTAAATCCCGAGAAGAGGGGTAAATCCATAAATGTGAGAGGCAAGAACCGAAGCTGCCATACCTATGCCATAGGGATGTCAATGGACTGAAGCGGGGGCGGGGGGGGGGGTATAGTCTTCATCAGTGTACCCGCTTAAAAAATCTTCATCCATCCCCGGTCCACTCCCGTTAACGGGTATAATTTTCATCCTCATCCCCGCCTGTGGGTAAATTTCTAATCCCCATCCCCGTCCCTACTTCCCCCGTACCCGCCCAAGCCCAAGGCTAAGGCCAAGCTCAAGTTCAAGTCAACATAATCCAAAATTCTAAATAAATTCAACATTTTAAATAATCTAACAACATTCTAAATAATTTAACATAATCTAACACAACATAATGTAGCATAACATATTTCAACACAACGCAAACAACAAATGTCTAAAAAACTAGAGGTATACTGCAATTACTCACAAAAACCAGAGGCTAGCAAAAAACTAAGGCTTTTGGGCAACAAAGTGCTTGTGAAAGAGATCTCATAGCTATTATCCTATCACAAAGGCAGCATCCTAGGAGCCAATAATCCTATCACAAAGGCTGCCTTCTAGGAGCCAAACATATTCATATATGAAATATGGTTCAAACTTGTAGTTATTGTTCTAGAGCTCTCTCAATTCTCCCAAAGCTCCAAAACCACTGTTGCCCCTGTATTGCAACCAGTAATATCATAGGCATTGACGCATTAAGTATTGAATTACTCATACTACTCACAAAAATAGGCAGGAAAATAGGATTATATAAAAAAGTGATATTTCAAATGTCACATAACAACTTTTTTAGTTAACTCCAGTACATACACTCTTGCTTGATACATGTGAAGTAGGACAAAAGAGGAATATGGAAGAACATAGAACAAAAGGAATATACTTGCATGAAAAAATAACATAGAACAAAAGTGATATTTCAAATGCCACATAACAACATTTTTAGTTAACTCCAGTACATTCACTCTTGCTTAATACATGTGGAGGAGGAGAAAACAGGAATATGGAAAAACATAGAACAAAAGGGATATATATATATTTAACGGGTAACGGGGACGGGACGGGGATAAGGGTAAGTTCATCCCCGCCTTCATTCCCGCGCGGGTTTATAAGGGTATCCTCGTATACGTTTATTGTCTAATACATATAGTCCATCCCTGGTCCAAATAGGACAGATTTGACGAATACCTATTTTTTTCCGGTCCACTTCCATCGCTACTATGCCATTAAATTTCTAGATTTACTTACCTTTTGCTGCAAAAAAGTGACATTGACACCTAGGTTTGCAGTAAAACTTACCATTTTATTTTTTTCTCACCATGGATAAGGAATCCCTTTACAATTGCCAGTTCTCCCCCATGCAATGCCGCCAAAGCCCATTGAGCAACTCAAGAAGACTACGAAAATTAGTTAACAAAAATATATTTTTTTATTACACTATCTACTTTAATTAATTATATTTTTATATTCACTCTAATCACGCTATTTATTTTAGCTAATCACTTCAAATAACTTTAACTAACTATTAATTATTACAATCTAAAATATTATGCAGTATGCCATGTCATATCAAAAAGAATTCTAAAATGTATTATTGTTAAGAATTAGAAAGAATTCTAAAATCAGATCAAATCAATCTCAACAACAAAAAAACAGCATTGAGAGATCCAACTTAAATGATAACACATTGACAGATCTAACAAAAATCAAAGAAATCAACTCACCAGACGGCCAGATCTGAGCAATCCTCTATCTCTCACCCCGCAATACCCAAGAATCCAAACTGTTGATGAACAACGCCCGAAGATTCAAATCTCCAAGGATCCGAATTAGAAGAAGTTCCTATCACAAGGATTCAATTGAAGTGGGCCCTAAATCCTCTCTTCCAAGCCACCAAAAACCTCCTCTTCGCTCTTTCTTGTTCAGTGCCCCTCCTCTTCTCCGAATGTTCCTATAACAAGAGAGGATTGAGTGTGCAGATCTTGATCTGGACTAGCAACTAGTTGCATCTGGACTGATCTACGATGATGGAGCTTTTGTGGAGTGAGGATTTTGGCACAAAAATGACATTTGTTGATAAAGTAGCTAGCCGAGAGGTCGCTAGAAGAAACGAGCAAATATCAGGTATCTAACATGCCTAGCGGGATACTTAGTCCGTGAGAATCAACATTTACTAACTATCTAAAATAGCTAAAAAAAAACACTTTTTAGATAGCCCTTGGAGTTGCTCTTATAAATACCCAACCACCTTCATTCTTCATCAATCACTTCCTTCTTGACTAAGCAAAACACTTCATACATGCAAATATAGAGTTAGTGATTATAGTTTCCAGAGAGAGAGAGAGAGAGAAATGGAGGGTGGTGGTGTGAACATGAAAGACCAATTATCTCTGCAACCAGAACAAACACCGCCACAATCACCGCAATCGCCGCTGCGAATCTTAATCATGGTGGCCTCTATTGCCGCCGGGATACAATTCGGATGGGCTTTACAGCTGTCTTTGCTGACCCCATACGTTCAACTTTTGGGTATTCCACACACTTGGGCTCCTTTTATTTGGCTCTGTGGACCTGTCTCCGGCATGCTCGTACAACCCATCGTTGGATACTACAGCGACAACTTTTCTTATCGTTTTGGCCGTCGCTGTCCCTTTATTGCCGCCGGAGCTGCTCTAGTTTGCATCGCGGTCTTCCTCATCGGCTATGCTGCTGATATTGGTCACATCTCCGGTGACCCACTTGGGAAAACACCAAAACCCCGAGCCATTGCCGTGTTCATCGTCGGTTTTTGGATCCTTGACGTCGCTAACAATATGTTACAGGTACGACACAAGCTAGATCTCCATTAAAATTAACCAGAATGGATAATTTATACAGAAAAAGAAACACGAACAGAAAGTGTTTGATTTAATGTTTTTGATTTCGGGATGTTCTTGACTGTTATGTTTGATTTTCAGGGTCCATGCCGTGCCCTCTTGGCTGATCTCTCCGGCGGAAACGCCCGGAAAACCCGAACGGCCAACGACTTCTACGCCTTCTTCGTGGCCGTCGGCAACGTGCTTGGCTTCGCTGCCGGCTCGTACACCCACCTCTACAAGCTATTCCCATTCACAAAAACAAATGCATGTGATGTGTACTGTGCAAACCTAAAAAGCTGTTTTTTTCTCTCCATAGCTCTCTTGTTGAGTCTAACAATACTGGTCTTAACCACAGTACGTGAAAAGTCAATATCTCCATCGGAACAGGAGAGTTCTGGCGACATGGTGGAGCGTGGGGAGAGTGAAAGGTCGAGATTAGCATGTTTTGGGGAAATCTTTGGTGCATTAAAGGAGTTACCTAGACCCATGTGGATTTTGATGTTGGTGACGTGTTTGAATTCGGTTGCTTGGTTTCCATTCTTGTTGTTTGACACTGATTGGATGGGGAGAGAGATTTATGGAGGTAAGGTTGGAGAGGGGAAGATGTATGACCATGGTGTTCGTGCGGGTGCATTAGGGTTGATGCTGAACTCGGTGGTGCTGGGTTTCACCTCCCTGACGGTGGAGGTTTTGGGACGTAGGATTGGAGGGGTGAAGAGGTTGTGGGGGGGTGTCAACTTCTTGTTGTCTTTTTGCTTGGCTATGACTGTTTTTGTGACCAAAATGGCTGAGTCAACACGGCGGTTCACGGCGGCGCCTGGTGGCGGCACAACTCCTCTTCCGCCGGTGCCTGGTGTTAAGATTGGCGCATTGACTCTCTTTGCAGTTTTGGGTATCCCTCTGGCGGTGAGTTATATTTTTTCAGTTAAAAAATATTAATTGCGTCTGATCATTTTATCCATCAAAGAACTAATTAACCTATTAGTTTTTTATTCTTAGTTTAATTTGAAGGACAAATTGCTTATTGAATTATTGTTATCCTTGATTAGGTTAATTACTCAATGGATTAACAAAATTCTGATTAAAGAAACGGGTATTTGGTGGGCACTGCAAACACACCAAATGATAATAATAATTGAATGAGGTCTGGAACGAGATAGTACGTGGCATTTGGGCTAGGGTTTTAGTCACACGTGTAGGTCCAGAGACTAGAAGGGCATGAAACTTTTTGTTTCTTTAACAGTTGGATTTGAAGTTATTCCAACATTTCCATGGTGGATTGAAATAAATGCAGTGCAAAAATGAGTAGCCCCTCTATAATTTGAGTTTATCCTCTTTGGAAGTCTATTGGGATACTCTCTGTGGTCTGAAACTAGTTGACTGTAGAAATTGGTTTTTTTTTGGCATGTCTTCAATTGTATTCAATATATTTTTATATTATCTTCTTTAGAGTTTTATTTATTGTTGTGTATTGATAGAGAATTTATTTATATACAATAAATCTTATTTTAATTTATACCAAGCAAATTAATCCGCTCCCTGATCTAGTCAAATATAGACCATATACGTCAGAACTTGTGTATTCATAAAAGATAAATTTCTCATGATTTGGGCCCAAGAGATTATTAAGTTTCAAACTGAGGAGGTATGTTTCAGTTCATTCTCATTACATTATCACTTGAACTACTTTTTAGAGTTTACATTCCTATGATAGTCATGGAATCTATGAGATGTTTTGGAAACATATCCTTTTAATTCTCGTGAGGATATATTTCAACCTACGAAGGGATTAGGGACACCCCGTTCTATTTGAATATAATTTTTTGACATAATCAATTACTATGAATGAAGATGTCAGATACATTTCACTATCCACTTAACAATAATAATGAATTAGATCAGATATAATTCTCTCTCTCTCTCTGCAGGCGACTTATAGCATTCCCTGTGCTCTAGCATCCATATTTTCTAACTCTTCTGGTTCTGGGCAAGGTAAAAGCACTTCACAATTTCTAATTGACATTATTAAGGATTTTCTATGACCTACTTCTTCTAAGATGCTTTGTGATTTTTGAATTTCATAGGTTTCTCACTAGGAGTTCTAAATCTTTCCATAGTTATACCACAGGTAATACTTCCCTCTTATTTGTTAATTCTCACATTTTTTTTATTGCTTATTATATAACATGGCTGCTTACATGTTTGCATTAGTTTTGCCTAGGTTAAAATTCGATTTGATAACTTTAAGATTGTATGTTCGAATACGAGGACAATCACTTTTAAGCAAAATAATGATAAAGATTAGATTTGTACACAATCTACCCATCCGGAACAATAGATTATTATACTAAATTCTGTCTATAATAAATTCAAGATTTTAGCTGAGATTTTGTAATTAGTGTTTGAAAAATCATCATTAATAATGGTTTAATAAAAAAAGACCCTTCAAAATCTTTGGGTACGGAACCCACTAAAATTCATCATTTTATTAATTTTAAGGATTTTGCTCCAAGACCCTGTAGTTGGAATTTGTATGTACTAACATATATTGAAATGCATGATTGCTATGATTCTACGAGTTCAACTAAGATAGCATAATATACTTTGTCGGTATTATACCTCAACTTTTCATTTAATAAAAAATTTTATTTTTTTATTTTTTTAATCAATGGTTAGGGATAAAATTTCGACACAGCTTAAACCTTATTTTAAATTTTCATTATTGAACCATGGTTCTCTGTGAATTCTTTTTCTACATAGTGGTGGGTTCATGACTAGCATGTGTCACATGGTGCAAACAGTCACCTTTCACCACTTTTCTTTGAAAAAGCCCAACAAGGTTGTATGGAGATGACCCCATGGCCATGGGTCCACTGTCTTCACCCAGAAAAAAAGTGACCTAATGTATTACATATGGTATAAGCTATAAAATTTAAAATAACTTTTAGGTTTGACTAATTTGTCTTTTTTTTTTTCTCTGTAATAGATGGCGGTCTCATTGTTGAGCGGGCCGTGGGACGCCCTTTTTGGAGGTGGTAATTTACCAGCATTTGTGGTTGGAGCCATTTCAGCGGCGGCTAGCGGGTTGTTCGCGCTAACCATGCTCCCTTCTCCACAGCCCGATAAACCATCACACAAAGTTTCAAGGCCCAACACTGGGTTTCACTAGTATTTGTTTTTATGTTTTCGTGTTTCTCTCCTTTTTTCCTATTTCGGTCACAAAAATGATCGTTTTCTGTTCAATATAATATAGTCGATGGCTACACACACACGAAGTGTGTTGGACCGGCCATAGTTAATCCTCTCTGTATGAAACTTTGAACGGCTATGCACCCGAAAAGCGTGGTACGGCCATGGTTTTAAATGTATGTACATCTTTGTTATTAAAAGGCCTAATCAAAAGTGATCAGTACCTTGGGTTGTGTAGGATCGGTTTCAAAGCTAGTTCAATCCAACATAATGATATGGACACATTGGCCCTGATTCAACCTTAGCCTAACCTCTGGCTATTAGCATTTAAGAGCCTAAGTTGGGTCAAGTCAGCCCAATAAAGTTCATAAAGAAAGTTTTAATACATGTGGGATGCAAAAACTTTGAGTGTTTTTATGTAGTGCTAGTTATTACTTGTGTTTGAAAGCACAGAGTAATAGAAAAAGATAAATAATAAACATATTTGTATTTATATCTAAAATCAAATTACAAACATAAAAAAAAGATAAAAGAATTTAAGTATCGGTTTGTAGTAGAGATGAGAGGTGGTAGACGACAGTGGTGATAGTTGTGGTGAGTGGTAATGACTGTGATGGCGATAATAGTGATGGCGATGATGGTGATGGTAGTGGCGGCGGCGGCGGTGATAGTGGTTGGGCGATTTTAAACACTTTTTTTTTTTTAAGTATTTATGAGAAATAATTTTTATAAGTATTTTTAAAAAGTCATTTCAAACACACCCTTAAGAGCTTATTTTTTCTATTAAATTTAGGGTGTTAATATTAACTGTTAAATTAACTTTAAAGTAAAATTTAAAATGATCTTAACCGCGAATAGCTAAAATTTAAAATGATCTTAACCGCGAATAGTAAAAGTTATTTTGTTTATCTTTTAAGATTTGAATTGTAAGTTACTTTATTATATAGATATTAAACAAAAAAACTATTATCACTTAATGATGTAGAGACGGAGATCGTCCTTAATGATGTTCCATTGCTGCCTATACATTAATCATTATCACTGCCAAAGAAATGCAAAATGGGATTCAATCATGCAACGTGTGAGTTTAGCATTAGTGAACTAAATCACCACCTAATACCTATCAAGAGCTACACATATCATAATACAACCAATGCCAATATGGCCGAACTAATTATTAGACTTGACATCTCATAAGTAATAACACAAACCAAAATCCAAACCCAAACCCGTAAAGAGTCCATTTGTTCAAAATAATAAGAAAAAATGAGACATTCAGAGTGGTATTTGGCAAACAAAACAATGGAAAGAAAAATATCAACCAATCAGAACTTAGCAAATAATAGGAATAAACTCATTAAAAACCAATATAGTATTATCAAATATTTCATACATACAGGGTCCTTACTAATTTCAACAGCTGCAATGTTGCTTGAAGGATCAAGTGTTGATACCTTTGGCCACTAGGGAAAGAGGATTAACGTCCCATCCAATCACAACCTATTTCCCTATAATTGTGTTAATCTGGGGAATAGCTTGTGATTGCTTTAAGGATCAAGATGTTTTCTAATGGTGCTCGAAATTGATTGGACTGAACTACAAAACAACCTGGGATATGGCTTAGCGATTGTGTGTGAATGTAGGAGTAAATGCCTGTGCGTGTATGATGTAGGACGAAAATAACAGTACGAGTGGTTCGCTTTAGCCGAACGACTATGGGGTACATCCGCAGTAAGGGAGACTCTTGCTCCTTGAGAAATATATTACTTGGGGAAGAAGGTTATGGTTACAAGATGTTTGGCTTAAAGCCTTTTACAGAATATTGTATAAGTTACTACTAGGTAGGGTTTTTTTTTTTTTTTTTGAATGACTCTCTGTGTAGTATCGTTAACTATTTATACATCTGGCTGTTAGGGTTTTTGTGTTGATCCCTTTTTGTAGATTCTGTAGTCTCCTTTGTGTTTGTCTTGTTCCTGGAGCTGTAATTCTTGATGTTTTTCTGCACCCACTACTCACCAACTGGAATACGTGAGTTATCTCTACTACCAGTACATTTTCATTCATCAAAATTGTTAGGTATTGTTCCCTTGTCTCATGTCCACGTGTCATGTTGTAGCTCTCATTGACTGGCCTGGTGTTGTACTCCCATTCCCTGAGCTAATACCTATACTAGGCTCATCAACATCGAGCTGACACCTATTTCGAGCTCGTTTGTTTCAAGCCTCTATGGAACTGGGTCGTGGTCCTGTTTGAGCCCAATAAATGTTGTCTATGATGCAATGCTTGGGTCGCCTTCTGTGAGCCCAGATGGTTTTAGGCTCTTGAGGGGACTTAGACTTAAATTCATCATCATCAGTTGCCCTCTAACCCCATGTCAGGTGCATGACCTTCTAGCTCCACCCTGGTGTTAAAATCGAATTTTCGCAACAATAATTACGCTATGGATGACGGTTCTTCATGATTAACAACGTTGTTCTAGTAGCGTGTTCAGTTCCCCTATACTCGCTCTGATGTGAAAGATATGCCAGGAAAGGACACTCATCGCGAAGAGAAGGCTCATTTGGTACGGCTCTTCCCACGTCTCATCATGGTAATAAATGTTATAAAAGGGGGGGAATTCCCCTTGCCTTTTCCACTGTTGTTTTGAATTTTTGACTTTTCACGATCCTTTCCCTTTTTCTAGACTTTAAGGTGGTTGCCTCATTCCTCTGATGATTCTAAGAATTCTGTGCTTTCATTTTTCTATGAAG